GCAATAAATGAACGTGGAGATTTGCTAAATCAAAGTAGAGGGACTTGAAGCTAATTTCTCAGTTAATTTCCCAGCTCTTTGCCCTGAGTGTACTCAATTATAGCATGTGTCAGAAACAGAAAAATAAAAACTAAGACAATTAGGAGCCCTAAAAAATCTTCCTTTTTACATATCTTCTTTTATAGTACGTTAGCTCCAAGTATTAAACTCTCCAATTCCTGAAATTAAATTTAATCATTTACTTTTCTAGAACTATGTCTTGTTTTTGATATCTTAATGTGAGCACACCCCTTCCACATATTCCATCAGAATGGATCCTAAAAAAGCCTGAGTTTTTTTTCTACATTTTTTATTGTTGGTGGTGGTGGTCATGGGGCTACAGCCTAGGAGCTGTCCCTGAGCTCTTTTATGCTCAAGGCTAGCACTCTACCACTTCAAGCCACAGCTCTACTTCTGGGTTTCTGGTGGTTAATTGGAGATACCAGTCTCAGGGACTTTCTTGCCTAGGCTGGCTTCGAACTGGGATCCTCAAATCTCAGCCTCCCGAGTAGTTAGTATTACAGGCATGAGCTCCCAGTACCCAGCTTGCCCACAATTTTGACTAGTTGTTAATTGATGGTCATTCTGATTTCTGTAGAGAGATGATAAAGTACCCTAAAGTGATAGGTGTTTTTTTTTTCTTTCTTGAGTAATGGGAGTTGAATTCAAGGTTTCACACTTGTTAGCTAGATATTCTACTGGTAACAGGTTCTTTATCGAAAACATCCTAGACCTTTAGGTGACCAATAGCTAGGAATGACATTCGGGATTCTAATTTCTAATAAATAGTTAAGGAGAAGAGATTGTATTGACTCCAGGGGAAATTTAAAAGATAAACATTGGAACATCATGAAAGAATCTGGCATAAAAAGGCTGGAGTTATAAAGCATTTGCTTAGCATTCCTAGGGCCTGCTTTGGTGTCTAGCAACACACACACACAAATCTAGAATAAAGAAACATGGCACATATGTAAGTACAGCTGCAGTGATCTCTGTAGGGATGGCTACCCAAAGTTAGAACACAACTAACAGAAAACATCTCTCTGAGCCTAGTATGGCAGCACATGCCTTTAATCAAAGCAGTTGGGAGGAAATGCAGGAGAACTTTGTGTTCAAGGCCAGCCTTGGCCTCATGCTTGAACTAAGAATTCCTCCTTGGGCCTTTTCCCATGGGTTATCCATGTGTTTTATGCCTATTATTGAAGGAGGACAGTCAGATTTCCAAAGCTGTCCCTTAGTTAAACTATCCGTGGTAATTGTGGAGTTCTATAATAGGTCCAACCCTAAGTAGTCATGTTGGGTTTCTTTAACAACCAATAAAATGTATGTTTTTTGTGTCCCATTTACAAAATATCTAGCAAGACAAGGCTTTGACTTGGTTTTGACTTGATTTCCTTATCGCAGCATGGATTTTTCCCTTCTCTCTTTCAGTGGTACCCAAATCATTTTTGATCACTAATGAGACCCGTGGGGGGGGGGCGGGTAGTTGGCTAGGGTTTGAACTAGGCAAGCACTCTAACATTTGAGCAACATACCCAGCCCTTTTTGCTTTATTTCATTTTCAGATAGGGTCGCACATATTTTTGCCCAGGACCAGCCTCCTACCGCTACCTCCCTACCTGAAATTATAGGCATGCACTATTACTCCTGGTTGAGATCCTCTTTTTCTTTATTTGATTGTTCTAATGGGGTGGTAGGTCTGATTTTTGTTGTTGCTGCTGTCTGTTTTTCTGGGACTTTGTTCTTGTTTTACTTTTGAGACAGGGTCTCGCTATGTGGTCTAGGCTGGTTATGAACTTGTGATCCTCCTGCTTCAGCCTCCTGAATGTTGGTGGCAGGTGTGAATGAATGCAGCTTCCTGAATGATTATTGCCTCATACACTGCTCATACATAGAGCCTATGCTCATAGATCTTATTTCAAAAGGTAAACCACGGGAATAAAAAAATCAAATACTTGTGCTGGAAGTTTTGCAGTATCTCACCATATGAACTCATTTTTTGTACTGTTCCCAACTAGGGCACAATAATGTCCATAACTATTTATGAGGTCCTTTGTATTATTCTTTAAGATATATATATATATACATACATATGTGTACTTTTACTCATATCTGTTGTACATAGGCAGATTTATTTACTTTCATATACTTAGCATGTACTTATACGTAGTTAGCAAAAATCTGTGTCATAATAAATACTTTAAAGTCATTTTACCTGTTAGCCAGGGATTTATAGAGCCTGATTTGTAGACTTAGAGTAAGAGAAAGACTAACAGAAAAGTATCATCTATCTGAGATATGGAATCAAGTAAATTGGCATCTTAAATGAAGTTTTTAGTCAATCAACCAAAGTGAGGTCATCCCAAAAGTCGTAACTATAATACAGTAACATTGTGGTATTTTTTTTTAATTCTGGGAACACATGAGTTGGGAGAATTAATGGCTCTTCTCTTTCAGTGGAGAGCTGTTCCTTTAGGTTTGGTGAAGGTCATTTTGAGGACACTGGAGGGGAGATTCCAGTTCAGCTCTTTCTAGCACAAGGCCTGCAAGGAAAAAAAAAAAAAAGTGGCTTGAATTTTTGAAGCCGTTGCACTTTTTTTTTTTCTTTTCCCATGAAAGCTGATAAAATATAGGCAACGGATTGCCCGTATTCGGAATGTTTTACAATAATGTTTGGGGGCTTCGTGGGGGGGGGGCGGGTTGCTCTAACAAAAATTAGGAAGTTATTGCTAGTCTCCCGAGATTGGGATGGTGAGGCAGCGATACAGCAGGGTACAGGGAGTTGGAGGCAGATCATGTCCCGCTGCACATGGAAATTTTGCCTCCCGGCAGGATCTAAACAAAAACACAACCACTTCACTGAAGAGTACAAAATGCCACTCAGAAATTTTCAATAGACCAGAATATTTGTAACTTTCCACCTACAGGTTCTGGCAACATAGCCAGTATTATGAAACTTCACATAAAAATTCAAATGATTCTTTTGTGTTTTTATACTCATTGGAGAAAGTCCTTGCTTTTGGACTTTGAAAGTATTCCTTTTATTCTATAGCTGTTTCTCGAAACAACAACATCCCTGCTTCATTTTCCTTTTTTTTTTTATTTTGAGCTGTTTGCAACCCCTTTTCGAAGCGTGAGAAATAATGCAATTAATTTTCTCCAGTGCAATCATGCATAGATTTAATAAGCATCCGTAGGTAGGATCCATGCGTAAAGCATGCATTGCATGCTAAATTACTTCTCTTCTGTGGTTTTTTTTTTCCTTTCCAAACCTTAATTAATTGAAGAAAAAAATGTTTATTAAAGTGGGAACAGGCTGGGTTCTGGCTCTCTGTCTCTGGTTCAAAAGTTCATACAATTCCCTAAAGCCTTGTCTGGGCATGTGGCTCCTCTCCCGTCTTTCTGGTGTCTGTTGCAGGGATGAACGCCTAGAAAAGGTGTGACATTTTGTTCCTAGGATCAATTTTAATCATGTTAACTTGGGTGAACTTTTTTGTAGCTATTGATTTGCATAAATTACATAGCTTTACATAAACTGTACTTACATCTAGACCCATGAATCTCTTTTCTACTTGCTTTCTCATTGCTTAGAATTTTTTTTAAAAAAATGGATACCCTTTCAACAACATCTTTAAACAGGAAGTACAGTTCTACAGGTGGATCTCAGATAGAAAATTAAAGGAATTATAGATGAAAATAAGCAAAGTTGTTCTTGACAAAATTGGACCAGAAGAAAAAAAATATTAAATCTATCCAATTAGAGAACTATTTATTTACTCATCAACAGAGAAATGAGCAAACAATAATAAGTTGCTATAGGAAACCTTTATATATCCTAGGTGAAGACAAAAACCAAAATGAAACAAAAGACAGTAAGCTTATAGTAAGAGAAATGAGTGTCTTTTAAAATAGATGAAAGTTTTTCCAATTATTTCAAGTGCTAACCTAAGATATTGTTATCATTCTTTTGGGTTTTTTTTTTTCCCAGAGTCTTTTCTTCTTACTATTTGCTGTCATTTTTAGATCTTGCTTTAAAAGAGAAAGTTAAGTAGTAGAGTTGTTTTTTTTAATCCAACTGATTAGTTTCTTTTTCTTTCCTTTTCCTTTGGTTTTTCTTTTTGTTACTTTCAAGTAAGATTAATTTTCTCCTTTAACACAAACAAGGTTGCATGATCACTTCCAGATTTATAGAAGTAGAAAGCAGGGCTGAACTTGACTGTGATCCTGCCTGATGAAAGCCATCTCCCCTTTGCCTAGCTGCATCTCGCAAAACACAGGCACTATACAGGAGCCGGGCAGAGGGCTGTTCTACAGGTTTTTCCATTCCCTCTCTAGCCTGTTGTGTGGGATTCTTCATACTAATAGACTCTTGCAGCTGGTCAATGTTGTTTTAATTTTTACAAATAACCACTTTACTTGAGGGAGGAAAGAAATGAGCAGTATGGAGAGCGACTTCAGTTTGGGATCAGGATAACTTCCTCATGTTGACTCTTGGTGTCACATACACGAGCATCATCTACCCCTGGCCATGTGAATGCCGGCGAGCAAGCCATGGAACATTCCTACGCAGAATGTCAGGGAATCAACAGTTCAATTTTTTTTTTTTTCCTCACAGATCCTGGGCCACTTTTTTGTTGTTGTTGTTGTTGAAAACTTGGGTCACAGATCACATGGAGGTGAGACTAAACTGTGATAACTAATTAGCAATTCAAATGAATTTCTTGGCACGGTGAAGACTGGACTAAGCAGGTCACAGACTGCACAGGGCATCTGTTTATGCATAGAACATGTTATCATCACCCCATGCCCCCCAAATTCTGTGACTTTTGGAAGCATCTGACTATTGCTTGCTCAACAGATTTTTTTTTGGAGGGCGGGGGGGGGGCGTTTAGACTCCTGTGAAACCCCTGAATTGAATACCTGTGTGGGTTTCACACATTGCATGCATGTAAACAACATACCTGCGCCAGGAGGAAGTGTGGGCCCTCTTTCCTACATGCTTATGTCTCTGCTGTCGTAGATTGGCGTCTTTTTTGAGCTATTCAGTGACATTTCAGAACCATTTCGCTCTGCAGAAAACCCGCAGTTGTGTTTCTTTAGCTGACACTTGCACTGGAAATTGCTAGTTAGAAAAAAAAAAAAAAATCGTGGCGGCCGGTGGCTGTAATCAGCGCTGTTACTGTCTGTTTCGCCAGACTAATAGCAGAGCGATGAGAGTCTGAGAGTTCACACAGAGGTTATCTTTCCCAGGTAGCATCTCGTCCAACGAGAATTTGATTTTTTTTCTATAGGACTTTACTCCATTAGATTAATGAAATTTCAATGAGAGCCTGGCGCCCCCTGAAGCTTTGTTAAGAAAACAAATGGTGATTCTGTAGGTGTGACAGCTTGCTTGGAGAGTTACGAGAAGGTGAATATATCCCCACAATCCAGGCAGCCAGGAACACATTGATCTCTATTTAAAGCACCAATCGGATTTTTGTTAATTATAAATGATTGATCTGCAGTTTTCTCTCCCCCCCTTTCTTCCCCGCTCCTCTTATATGTGTGCATCCCCCCTCCTTCCTCCACTTCTAACTTCTTTGCATGCTGAGGGCAGAGCTTTTTGTTTAAAGAGACAATCATAGAGAGAAAATTATAGCAATACCCAGCGGTGATGCTATTGTGAATGGCACTGTCAGAACAGTCACTGTTCACCAGATGGAGGTGAGCCCTGAACAAGATTTAAAACTGACTCCATGCTCTGTTTACTTGGACCATTCCTAAAATTAAGGCTTTTTTTTAAAATTAAAAGAAAGCCTTAGAATCATTAGACTGGCATCACGTAGACCTGAATTCGATGTTTTAAATCCAATTTGTAAACCCAATCCCCAATGTTAGCAGTGAGGCAGAGTGCACACCTTGTACACACCAGAATGTGATGTGTGATCAACCAACCCCATGTGCAAAAACGGGGTACACTAAGGGAATATCTCCAGCCTTCAATCTCAATGGCAATTAGGTGATTCATCTACCTTTTTATCATATTTGTGGTGTTGCTCTCTAGTCATATTTAGAAACAATTTTGTATTTAAAAAACCCTGCACATTTATTATTTCTGATAATTGCTTACCACACACAGCTCTGAAGAGAACACAGGAAAAAAAAATGTCCCCGACTTCTTCATAGACCTGTCTTTAGTGAAAATATCTGAGTGTTATATGTATTTATTTATGAACACAAAGGACATCATTTCTTGTCTGTTATTTATAACACATACAGTACACAGAGGAAATAATTCACCTAGCTTGTAGAAAGCTATTTGTAAAATTACAGCTTAAGGAGTACAGTTCTTAGTGTATTACATTGATTTCACACTTCAGGCTCAAATGTAGATTTTTTTATGAATATGTCTGTCTTATGTTCGAGCCCTTAATTAAGTTGTAGGACATACCTTCTCAAGTTAGAATTACCAGCTTGCCTCAAATTACCTAAATAATCCATGCCACTCACAAGAGACTTTCCTAGATCAATAATCTTAAAGTAGTTTATAGTTGGCAGTGACACTGATACAAAATACTTGAGATTTAAAGAAATGTTGCCTGCTTCCTCTGACTGTTTCTCTGAATTTTTGTATAACTTCTTTTAAAGTTATTTTCTAATGCTGTAAATTGGGAGTAAAGTATGTCATTCTCCCACTCCCAAACTTTTATAACTTTTAGGAGATGCCCTCTGTTGCTTTCCAAAAAGGCTTACCATCTAAATATGAAAGTATTTTAATAGAACTTCCCCATGAGGTAATTATTTCATCATCCTATAAGTGCTCCCAAGAAAACTTGATTTAAAATATAATTTTTGTGATATAGCATTTGTCCCCAGAATTTTTAAAAATTTATATTTTCTTTTTTAACTTATTAATATTTATTTTTATTTATTGATATTGTTTTTAATCTCAAAAAACTAGCAAAAGTCATTAAGGCAATTATATAAATAATTATGATTTTTAAAATCAGATAATTGCATTAATTAAATGATTTGTTTATGAATGTTAGTGTACCAGAATAGTGTAAATGCCAACAAATAAACGAGTGACCCATGACAATATGGAGAGATGGGTAATCATGATAAACTCACCAACTTATCATAAAACACTTCCAGAGGGCTGATTTTGAATGTTTTAATTTTATTCCTATTGGAGGTTTTTTTATATTTGAATAGGCTAACTGATGATTTTCATTAGTGTATTTGCAACTGATATGATTTTAGTAGGTTCTACCAAGGTTAAATAATTTAAAGAAATAAACCCTTATCCGATAGAAGATAGCTAATGAAGTATATTAGATACTTGCCCTAGTGCCGCACGAAATGGATCTCCAAAGCTAACAGCAGCTTTCTGTGGGAACACAAATCTCTATATAAATATCCAAATGGAGCAAGATGTTGCAAATTTTTAAAGATATGCCATAAAAATAGATTAACGCTAGTGTGCAGTCCTGTTCTACCGAATTACAAAAGGATATCGTGGGATTGAGAGTGACATTCCCATAAATAAAGAATCAATTCTTAATGATGAGGCAGCCTTGTTTGAGCACATTTTACCCAGGTTAAATGGGAGCATACAGAGGCATCAACTCCTATAAGACTGCTAGACTCATTGTATATTAATATGATTTAGGGAGCTACACACCTCGATGGAATAATTGTTATTATATCTATAGAGCCAGATGGCACTGGGTGTAAACAGCCATTGAGCACCTGAAACACAAGTATGGCAGGTGATCTTTAAGAGGCTCTTGCATCCTGCTCACTCATCTTATCATTGGAATCTGCATTACTCTTTACAAAATGGTTAGATTGCCGGCACGAATTTTTTTTAGAATGGTCCTATTGTTCAGTGGGATTATCGAATGTAGGATGCATTAGCAGGATGAGAGACGAAGCAGCTACCTGGGTTTGTGTGTGTGAGCACTGTGTTTCTTTTTTACAAGAAAGAAGAGTCCTCCTTCTTTCTCCTCTTTCCTCTTCCTTCCTCCTTTCCTTCCTCTTCCTCCTTCTACTTCTCCTCCTCCTCCTCCTCCAAAAAGTGATGCTTTCAGAAATAAAAAATTAGCCAAACTCCAATTTAAAATAAATTACTGGACTGTGGAAAAAAAAAATTAGCCAAGTGCCCTGGCTCATGTCTGTAACCCTAGCTATTTAAGAGGCTGAGATCTGAGGATCATGGTTCAAAGCCAGACTGCACGGGAAAGTCCATGAGACACTGATCTTCAACAAACTACTTTAAAATAACTAGAAATGGAGCTATGGCTCAAGTGGCAGGGTGCTAGCACTGAGCAAAAAAAAAAAAAAAAAGCTCAGGGACCGTGCCCAAGCCCTGAGTTTAAGCCCCAGGACCAGTACCAGGGAACAAAACAAAACAAAAATAACAACAGCCACAACAACAAAAACACAGAAATGAAAAACTAATCTACAAATAGCCAAAAGAGGCTAAAATGCATACATGTTTGTGCTTCCAAAGTGAAAGTAATCCACGTTCTAAGCAGTACTTTGATTTCTTATACAGTGTCATTGTTTTGAACATGTAAAATTTAAAATTGACTTCTGCTAACCCTAATTGCCCAACTGAGGCAAATTCATTCACTTACTTAACAAATTTATTGTTAAATAAATTTAATAAAATGTAATAAATTTAACAAATTTATTGCAAAACTACTATATGCTATTCCCTGTCTAGGCATTAAAGATAATGTCAGTGGGGGCAGGGAAGAATCTTTGCCCTCATGAAAGAGAGGCAAGACATGATATGGTACCTGATATGAGATAAACTATCAGAGAAAAGAAATAGAGTGACGCTGAGCAAGATGCATTATCTTCATAAACTGCTTTGTTCAATGGAAACTCTGTACAACTACTTAAAGATTTTTTTTAAAGTGATCACTGAAGAAAGAAATTAAAAAAAAACAATTATATATGTACAGGGATGGGAGGGAGGTTGGAGAAGAAATAGGGAAGAATGACAATGTGCTGAAGTAAAATAAAAGGGCTTACAGTTTGCCTTTTCCCCCTTAAATAGGTAGGAGAATTTATCTAAGAAGAGTGAAAAAGAGTCTAGAAAAGTTCTTATCTTCTAACTTCATTGATTTTTGTGTGTGTGGGGTGAAATACATACCTGTTTTTATCTCCTCAGTTCTGTGGCCAGTATCACAATGTTGAAATGAGTACTCGATGTAAACTTAGATTTTTTTTTTTTGGTCAGTCATGGGGCTTAAACTCTGGGCCTGGGCGCTGTCCCTCAACTCTTCAGCTCAAGGCAAGTGCTCTACCACTTCAGCCACAGCAGCACTTCTGGTTTTCTGAGTGGTTTATTGGAGATAAGAACCTCTCAGAATTTCCTGCATGGGCTGGATTTGAACCACAATTTATAGATCCTGAGTAGCTAGGATTACATGCCTGACCCACCAGTGCTCAGATAAACTTAGATTTTCTTGGCTTAAATTTAATATTGTTCCATAATTTTCTCTTACGATTTGGTTTCTTTCCCCCTGAGAAGAGCATTAAAATCATAGCCTCTTGAGTTACAGATAATTTTCAAGTTGCTCCTTGCTCTCCCTTATTACCTATGTTTTCTGGTTTCTATTTACTGAGGACATAAAACTGATCTCTTAAAAGAAATTTTTTTATCTTTGTAGACTGAGTGGATTTAGATTTCCAAACATAGAAAAATAGGTTTCCATCAGGCCTAACACAGAGAATCCACTCAAATGTTTGTAATCTCATAAATCAACACTCTTTTGAAGTCTAATGATAAAATTCATCATAATCATGAGAAGATATTCAACCATCCCACTCTGGGTTATTGTCAAGTAACTCCTGGATTTCAGACTAATGTTCAGTTCTTTGCCAGATGTTAGTTCATGGTAGCATCACAGCTCCTCACTAATTTTGTGAAGCATTGTACATGCTGTGTTTAGGTGGAAAAAATAAAATAAAACCCATTTTGTTATGGGGATCCCATGCTTGTTGCTGTATACCTACAAATATGGAAACGTGTTCCAAAGTGTTAATAATGGCTACAGGTTATAATGTAAGGATAAGATCTATTCTTCTCCTTATACTTTTCCATATTTAATTTTTTTCTACAAT